TTTTCATTCACTTATAAGTGCATGTCCTTATAAGCGAGTGTGCTCTTACAATAAAACCTGGTGTAAGCGACCTCCGTGTTTAGCGACCACCTGCTCTTAAAGACCGTTTTCCATGCACGGACAGTTCTACACGTACACAGACCCTGTGGGACCTACCTGGTTCTAAAGACCACCTGGCTTTAACGACCGCTTTTCCTTGCACCGAGGGGTTGTCGCTTAAACCAGGTTTTACTGTGTATTCGAAAATAAGAACATGTGCCTAAATGCGTGAGATTACGGTACATACAGTACTTTCTGGAATGTTATCCGCATTCTGAAATCCCTTTAAAAAAATCAATAACCTTCCCTGTGGCTTAGACTCCACATGCTGAAGGCGAACAAGAAATATTTTGTTATTCGGGTGGTGTATAAAGCAGGGGCGTAGCACCCGCTACGACTGGTACGACCATGGCCGTACCACTTTTCGAAAAGTGTGGTCCGTCCGGAACGTGCAAAACCGTAATAAAAAAATCAGGATCCATCGATGCATATGCGCATCAGACTTTGACCCTTTTCTAGACTCGTAGATCTACTCGTAGATCTGTTATGCATCTGCAGTCGGACTGAGTCTACTGTATACATGTACTCGACTCGACTGCATGCACACTGCGCCAGAACTTGGCAGAAGTTCCCAGAACGCAGGATTTTGTGTCTTTTTTACAAAAAAATTCCTGGAGGAGGTCCCCTGGACCCCCCTCCCACACAGCCTTCCGCCGCGCCGACCTTTGGTCGTACCACTTCCAAAACCCCTCCTACGCCCCTGTAAAGTAAAAGTAAATTATCGTGTCCGTTCCCGAAGGGAACTCACGACGGCCGCTAACACCCGATAAACCCTAGCGGCAGATGCAGCGCCTAACGGTGTATGCCTTGACCATATTTGAAAAACCCATAAAAAGGTTAGGCCAGGGATTGTGCTGGGTTGTACATGACTCCCTACGATTCCCAAAGCATTTGGCTCTGGCCCATCAGTGCAAGCTTTGCAGAAGTTTGATGTTGGATTCATTTTCTGTGAAGTACAAGTAGGAAAACATTTGAAATTGCAGCACTTGAATTCAGGATTTCAACTCAAGCTCTATTTTCCTACTTCACAGAAAATGAATCCAACATTGAACTTCCACGAAGTTTGCACTGATGGGAGCCTTGTACTTTAGGACTGACCGGAGCTTGAGTCGCACAACCCCGAGCACAATCCCTGGCCGGTGGCTAGGCTCAGCAAGTCAATCTCAACCATGCAAAGAAAAATTGAAACGTTTGTGTCTCCCTATCTACACACACCAGATTGGTTCAAGTCGCCTAAGTATGTCAGCGATATCCGTCCCTGGCTGTGTGACCTGCCAGCGGAGGACTTGAGACGTACTCTTCAGCGTGGTAGACTGTTGGCATTGTCTCACGTGGACCAGCTGACAGAGACTGCGACGCAACATGGGGAGAAAAGGCATAATCACGATATGTTGTCGAAGTATGTAGAGTCAGCAGGAAAAGATGGCTTTGTCGCCCTCTATAAAGCAATCGAGAAGAGTACATCCTTGAGCCAATTTATCATACAAATTGGCTTGAAGCAATTGCGTGAAGCGATGCCTGATGAGTAATGCCGGTAGGATCGAGGTCTATGCAAGCCATCAGCACAATAGCACCATCACCCTGCGGTATTTACTGGCTGTTAGCAGTTCCATGTCTACATGTGGTTGTGCGTGGGTGTATCTGTGTGCAACTGGGTTTCATTACCTGTTTGCTAGTGTGTGTGTGTGTGTGTGTGTGTGTGTGTGTGTGTGTGTGTGTGTGTGTGTGTGTGTATGTGTGTGTGTGTGTATGTGTGTGTGTGTGTGTGTGTGTGCGTGCGTGCGTGCGTGTGTGGTGTGTGTGTGTGTGTGTGTGAGTGCGTGCGTGCGTGGTGTGTGTCTGTGTGTGTGTCTCTGTGTGTGTGTGTGTGTGTGCGTGTATGTGTGTGTATGTGTGTGTGCGCGTGTGTGTGTGTGTGTGTGTGTGTGTGGTGTGTGTGTGTGTGGTGTGTGTGTGGTGTGTGTGTGTGTGCGTCCGTGGTGTGTGGTGTGTGTGTGTGTGTGTGTGTGTGTGTGTGTGTGTGTGTGTGTGTGTGTGTGTGTGTGTGTGTGTGTGGTGTGTGTGTGTGTGTGCGTGCGTGCGTGTGTGTGTATATGTTTGTATGTGTGTGTATATGTGTGTATATGTTTGTGTGTGTGTACGTATATGTGTGTGTGTGTACGTGTGTGTGTATGTGTATATGTTTGTGTGTGTGTATGTGTGTATGTGTGTGTGTGTGTGTGTGTGTGCGTGTGTGTGCGTGTGTGCATGTGTGTGTATATGTTTGTGTGTGTGTGTATGTGTGTGTGTGTGTTTGTGTGTACGTGTGCTTGTGTGTGTGTGTGTGTGTGTGTGTGTGTGTGTGTGTGTGTGTGTGTGTGTGTGTATGCGTGCGCGTGTGTATGTGTATAGGTGTGTGCACCTATGCACATGTACCGATCCAGCAATTTCAGTATGTTTGGTCTGTGATTTCATTTAGAATCGTTGATCTATTTCCATTACACATGTATTTGCATCCTTGAGTCCTTGGTGCTACATTCCCACCTCTACCCCCCCCCCCCCCCCCCTGTGATGCATGGTGTTTGCAGGGTTTTTCTCAGGCTCCTGAGTGTTGACCTCCGAATCAAACCAAGTCATTATTGCCTCATTACCCGCATGGCAAGTGTGCATAATCTTGATTAGATACGGCCATCCTTTGCTTTTTTAAGTTTGTTTCCCTTTGGTTTCGTTACGCTATGACTGTAACAAATTTGGATGACCAATCTGCAGCATAAACTAAATCATTTTGTTACAGAAAGCACCAAAACCTCCATGATTAGAAGCAGACGGTTTTGGTTCCGACTGCTAGTACATGATTACTTGTTTCTACTTTTTTTTTACATTGCCGGTCACGGCTGCCGTGCAAGAGGAGAGTGCATCCAGTTCGTGATGTTGCCTCTGTCGCCACCGCTGCCACTGCTGCTGCATTCGCTCTATCTGAATGTCATTTTCTGAAATTCTGTTGCCGGTGTAATAGGTGTATTTATAATAGGAACGTACATACTCCCTATTCGTATTTCCCGCTCGTTCCCCTTGGCAATGAGAGACAAGAAGAGCGCATGCTCCAGTGAATCTCTAGTCTTGAGTTGTTCTTGTCCTGTTCACCTTCTCACTCTTATCTACTCTCTTGTCGAAATACTTATTCCATATTCAATACTATAACACCCTTGTGTTCGGGAAGAGTGAGGGCACTTTGTTTAGCCGGGAGCTAACACCGGTTCGGCTTCACACTTCTCTATTTCTAGCAGGGAGTAGTAAAATACCGGTATTGTACTACTCCCTGATTTCTAGTGTACATGTACTTCGAAGTAGTAGTCTTACTACAACCTACCGATTAGTGTATGCGCTGCAGAGCTCAGCAAGCTTGCTTCATGCATCTCTACGCAGTCACACACAGGTCAGTGATCAGTGTGTTCTTGTCTTCTTGAGCACTGAGCCCGAGGCCTGTGACCATGGTGACTTGGTTTCGGTGATGATTGCTCACCCAGGTTCCTATGTATATCAGACAGCAAATCTCAGTCGCATTTCAAATTATTGTTCTTGAAGAAATTTTTTTGGAAAGAATTGCCCGTCATAAGGTTTGTATGGTTCTGCCAATTTCACTGCTTTTCGAGCAGAATCTGCCACCTTTTCGAGCAGAATCCGCCGGTGCCTATATCGGGAAGGGGAATCATCTCTACCCATTTGGAAAAATAGTCACCCACCACCTGAATGTACATGTGTTTATAACCACGAGCTGTTAGAGCAAGGGATCCCATAATGTCCATTCCCATTACTTCAATTATAGCTATCAATAGTATTTTTAAAGCAGCTGCAGACATCTCCACGCTATAATTATGACACTTGTTCGAGTTTAGACGTGTAAATTTCCAGAATCGATGTTCTCGCTCCTATCATCAGTGGAATTCATACGGAGCTAAGGATCAACAACGAATGCAACTAAGGTTGAGTAATAGAAAGGTGCTATAATGACACATACATCATGATACAAGCGCAATAAAACTACCGCACATAGATGGTAACGCAAAATGGTAACAAATGTACATAACTAAAGGTGAGGAGGAACTGAACGAAGTGTCAACTTTTGACTATACGGAGCCTTGTAGGTGCAACAACATGCTCTTTCTGCTTACATGAAACAGGTTTATGCACACGTATTCAAACTGCCTCAATGATCCTCAACGGCTGGACATATACCAGGCACTACACTGTCACACAGTGCAGAGAAATGAGAGTCATCGTACACACTAAGACAGTCAGGACGAGAAGACTGTAAGCATGATATAAAGATATTGAGAAGGCATGTGCTGAACACCCACTCATGCTCATGTACACACACACATGCACACACACACAAACACACACACACACACAAACATGCATACACACGCGCGCGCGCACACACACACACACACACACACACACACAAACATGCATACACACGCGCGCGCGCGCACACACACACACACACACACACACACAAACATGCATACACACGCGCGCGCGCACACACACACACACACACACACACACATCACTACTACTATTGACAGCTGCCAGAAATGGCCACGCCGCTCACCGAAGGGAGGTACTGTCAGAGAGGTTAGGGGAGAGGTAGGTGGTGCCTCAAATAGCGCTCCAGGTCCTGTCGCCTCCTAAACTGGCGTCGATTACAGACTCGGCAATGATGTTCAAAGTGCTGGCGATCAGTCACTGTAGGGCGATTCGGGCAGGGTCCACAGCGATGGCGCACACACACACACACACACACACACACACACACACACACACACACACACACACACACATACATACATACGCGCACCACGCACATGAACACACACACACACACACACACACACACACACACACACATGTATGTGTCCACCAATACTGTTCAGTGCTCATGGTATGGCGGCTGCGGCGGTGGCAGCATGACAGCTTTCAGCTGCAGCTGGATGTTCAAGGCTCACTCCCGAGGTACTGCCTTCCTGCAATGAAAATATCCATGCATGCACAACGCACATAGACACACACTTGATTAGATCTCGACGCAAGTTGTCTTGGTAGGTTACAGATCAGGGGAGAGGGGTGGGAGAGGTTGAGCGCCAGCACTTCTAACAATGCACTGGATGTTTGTGTAGTCGAAACTTCCTGCGGCACCGGTGCTGGAATGGGAAGTCGCCCTTTCTGATTTTGTCCTACGTTTTGTGCGTGACATTTGTGTCTGGTCAAGCCGCTGCTGGACTTTTAAAACTGCGATGACAGGTGTTGCACTGCAGAGTGACTGAATTTGTGAGATGCCCGGTGTTGAGAGAATGTCCGTGATCGCACCGATGCGGCGATGGGTGGTCACTCCACCAGGATTGCGGGGCCAATGTTGGAAAAGACGACATAGTCATTAGCAAGCGCTAGCTTGGCCACATACCGGTTTCTGCCACTCCTCAAAGCATTTGTGACGTTTCTCATCTGCTGGATGAGAACAGTGCCGATCACTTACATTACAATGACCACTGACATGTACACTTTGGTGACTTTCAAGCCGGCTGGTTGTTTTTCAGCCCCCAATTTTATAGTGCACATGTAGATCATGACTTGTGGGCATGTGTGTGTGTGTGTGTGTGTGTGTGTGTGTGTGTGTGCGAGTGTGTGTTTCTGCGTGTGTTCCCGGCTACCGTAGGGTAGTAACACAAAGCAGCGGGATGTTTGCATGGTGACCTGCTCACTTACCAGATCAGCAATCAGCACCTTCAACAGCTTAGCGGCATCACCAACATTCTTCCTCTGACCACGCAAGAGCAGACAGCTGGCTCCTCGCTCACTTTCCTCGGCTGTCAGGCTGCAGTGTATCTTCAATTCCATGAGCAGTTCTTTCCAGCTCATCACAACTAAACGTCGCGGGCATCCAGTCCTTTGCATTCATGCCGTTGAATGATCAGTTCGTCGCGGAGCGTCTGCTGCAGACATGCCTCCCCCGTTTTCAAGTCATCATAAGACTCGGCGACAAGCAGGAAAGATGCCGACGGTGGACAGCATTCAACGGGTGGTGCTGGTGTCTCCACCTTCTGAAACGAGAAGAGAACATTGCCGATGCCTTTGCGTGCAGTCGGTACGTTCTCCTCCATCAGAGCGGACAGAGCGAATTGCAAATCACCAGTCGGGTTACTGGAAGACTGGGTGTGATAGTTGAAGAGGATCCTCTCCAAGCTTGTGCCGCTACGCAGACATTCCATGGCTCCTTGGCCGATAAGCTGGAACCATTATCTAGCCTTCAGATGGTCTGGTCCTGGCTTTGGGAGAAATGGAATGGCGATGGATTTTGCCTGGACGTCTGATGCAGTCTGGAAGATGAGCTTGAGTTGCTTTGAGAAAGCGGTCTTGAACACCTGCCCTTCTCGCATATTTCCGCCCTTGATACAGTTCGGGTTGGAGTGGATGAGAACCGGGGCAGGCAGCTTTCCGCTGCTCAGAGCTTGTGCAGTTGTAAATACGTCGCCATTGCTCTCAACCCAAGCTTGTGAATCATCGGCAATGCCAGTACCGCCGTGGTTGATAACGTCACGTGCCATATGCCGTCAGCAAGAAGCAGTGTTGAGTTGGAGAAGAGCACCATTGCATCTACATCAGCCATTGCAAATTGGTCGTTGTACGGGCTTGTTGAGCTGCAAAGTCAGGGTCTGTTCCTGTCTCTCCCCTCTGGTGAACTGATGCAACTTTGCAAAGCAGAGTGGAACTTGGTCTGCAATTGCTCTGGTGCGGGGCTTCACAATTCGAGCAGTTTCTTTGTCTTGCATCAGCTTTGTTTTAGCAAGTCTCATAACGGTGTTGAGCTCGGGCGGCTTAATGACTAGTCTCTTGTAGACGCGATGCTGCAGTATATCGTGGGCCAGTAGTTCCAGTGCTGCCTTGCCATTCGCTGCTTCTTCCTCTGTGTCAGCTTCGAGCACAGCCAGCTGGTAAGCAAAGGAGTTGTTCTGATACTTTCCACGACGCTCCCGGAAGCGGCAGTTTGAACTCTCCAGCAATGCCTCTGCCTCGGCCCGGTGCGTTGTGAGTAAGAAGTTGCATACGTCGCGCCCTGGCATACTCACCATCTTACTATGGTATCGGCGGCGGCGATCACGGTCGTCCCTGGCGACGGCAGGTATAGGAGAAAACCTGATGTTGTCCATGTCACATCTACCAACCAACAAGCACCAACACCAGAAAAAGAAAACTCCCGAAAATGAAGATAGAGGCGGACTACAGCATGGCCATAATTATATGGCTCAGTGGTTGGAACATTGCTGCTGGTATATAGCCAAGGTCCTTGGTTTGAATCCTGGCAGTGGAACTTGTCAATTTGTGTCTTCTACTTTTCGCTACTTTTCATTTCCTCACTTGAAGCTGAGGAATATCACCTGGTAATCGAAATAATTATTGTCATTGGAAATCTTACTAGTACTCTAAATTCAGAAATTTATGGTACTCAATATTTTCGGTATGAGGGCAAAAGGCCAGGTTAGGTGAACAGAAATTTTAGGCATAGAGGAGCAATTCCCTATTGGATTATGTGTGTTAGTGTTTATTCGGTGTATTGAAATTTTAGATATGAAACATATGCACCGAAAGTACCGAAAATAAAAGTACATCGAAAAATTAGTGAAATTACAGTCAGTAGTTGATGTAGCCGCATGGCAGTATCAGTGTACTAGCACATATGCCTCACCTCTTGCAAACACCGTTAGCAGAACACACAGACACACACACACACACACACACACACACACACACACACACACACACACACACACACACACACACACACTCACACACACACACACACACACACACACACACACACACACACACAAGAAATTCCTTTCGTAACTAAAGCCGTTTAGGAAAGTTCCCTTTAATATGGACAAGCAGTGACTTTTCCTTCACTCACCCTATGGTCCACTTGTCTTGCGATTGTATCTGGAAGATTAGTCTCATGTGAGTGCGGCGGGTAGCCTTCGTCCGGACCGTGACCGGTGCTGTTAGAATCTCCCGATCCCCATCCACCTGTAGGTAGTTTGTGAGGCATACATCTTGCACGGCACATAGCGCGGACAGCTCCTTCTCCTCCTCCTTCACGGACACAACAGAAAAGTAGTGGTAGTCCTTCAGGTTTTTAGCTAGCTTCTTTAAGTAGTCTACACTGTATTTGTCGAGAATGTAGACTGTAGCTTTCGTTGAGGATGATCCGACCTTGGCGGGTGAGAAGTGGGCAATTGCCACCATCTTGGAGAAGGCTTGGAAGTGCCGTTGCAGCAACACTGGGTTGCGAGCAATCTCGTCATCAAACACGTCGACAGCCACAGCCCACACATGTAGAGTCAGTGGTCGGGGAACATCAAAGTAGCTGAACGGTTCGGTGAAGTGAGGGCTGCAGTGAATGAAAGAGAGGGAAAAAACAGCAGAAAGAGACCATTAGCCTCAGTGCGAAGAAACTTGGAATGTCCCTCAAGACAGCATTGCAAAGAAGCAAAGTCAACCACAGTTAGAACTTTGAAAGTGGTCCAAAAAACGGAAATATATTCAAGACACAAAGAGTCAAATTCCCTGCTACAGGACACAGCAGTGCATCATAATAAGTGAATACTGAACACTGCTTCAGGTTAGCGATAGAGAGCTCGACAGAAGTATCACTTCTTTCCACACAGTTCTAAGCCAAACAACCTTGGCAAAACCAAATAGTGGAATTTTGCATATGGTAACCGTTCACAGCTCTCTGTGGTCCATGGTCCTCGACCACGCACTGGCTGAAGTCAGATACTAGAGAGGTTAAGATGCGTGTTATTTCCGACTTGAAGCGCAATTTCACGTCAAATTTGGCGTAAAACTCCAAATTTCGACGTGAGCAGCAGGTCACTCGCGTTGATTTTTCGACGTGCGAGCAAATAACGCGAGCTGAACTTTCGCGTCACATCAGAAATAGCGTGCATCTTAGCCTCTCTAGTACTAGCTGTTTCAACCTTGTCACTGAGGTCTCCTCAACAGAGCTCACAGTCAATGGTTATACTTGGTCATACCTGGCAAAGATCTCGGGAACCGGAGGACACACGACTCTCTGAGAGCCATAGTCCTCGACCACACACTGGCTGAAGTCCAAATCGCCAGAGATGGTGTTTAGAACCTTCTTGACTTTCCTCTTCTGCAGGCCCTTCAGGTAGTCTAGAGCTTTGCGTTGCTCTTCGTCAGTAGCAAAACCCAGCAACAGACAGGAGCAGGCACGGCTCTCCTTACTGCCCAGAAGTATACCCGGTGATATTCCCTCGGCAAACGCGTCAGCAACAGCGAGACCACGCCTGACATTCTCCGGGACATTGCCGAATAGCACCAGATGCAGCGTCATCTTCACCTGTATCGGCCATGTTTGAAATCTGCTGTCCTGCATCAAAAAAGAAAGCATATCACAAGCAACAGAGTGTTCATAAAAATAAAAGGGCCAAGGAACTACAAGTTACGCTATAATGTCCACTAACACCACCAGTTACTTGTAGTTCCTTGGTCCTTTTATTTTGTATAAATTAATCATTGGCTCTCCATCCGAGTCCATTCTAAGAGAGTGTTCATTCAACATGGAGTTAAAACACTTTTTTCATCCTCTTATTATTGTTTAAACTAGCTCTGCCTTTCGGTATTCAGCTCTCTATCGGACAGCCTGGAACCTCTCTGTTTATAGCTGAGTACAGACGATTACCGGTGACACGAACGCAAAGCGCCTGCACTATTGCCAGCTGTTATGGTTAAAAGTGGCAGAAGACAACCGTTCGCGCTAACGTCTTGCACCCATCCATGTCAAGAAGACTTGATGTCCATCATTCAACTGCAAACATGAGCATGTAGCCTACGCAATGCTTATTAGGGTTCTAGCCAAATTTGGTATGGGGGGGGGGGGGAGGGGCTGCCCCCCCCCCCCACCCCGTGAAAAAGTGGCACCCCCTACTCATTTTCCGATTTTCGTTTTTTTATGCAATTCAACGAATATGCAGTCGAACGTCACTATTAGATGGTTCATAAAGGCACATTTGTCTGGGGCAAAGTCGGGGATTCGCCACATACGCTGCATTTAGCGTTGCAAGACAATATTGGAAAGTGGAAAATAGGTATACGGGGTAGCTGTTTCCCATACCCGCCCCCTACTATTTTGACCTGCTTAGAACCCTGCCAAACACGATTATCATTCTGCCACTTAATTAAAGCAGGCAATGTTTAAAACGTTTTAAAGTAAAAATCAAGAGTACACAAGCCCCAGGAGTGTGCAACTCCACTGCGCGTACTTTTCGGACAGAATTTCAAGTTGACGTCAATTTTACAATGCAATGTGAACTGTAAACAGTGTGTCCATTGTTATTAGGCATTATACCTGTTTTGATTTCCACTATAAATAAAGTATACAACAACGACAACAACAACAACAAACGCATTATCAGACATACCCTGGACCTGTTGTGGACAAATCCCTATTTTGATCATGTACAAACAAGGTGTGCTGTGTGTAGTGGCTGAAGTTATACAATTACACTAGATACTCCAACAATTTTATCAACAATTATGATAATTAAGAAATGTTTTGCTCCCCACAGGCCACACCGGAGCTCGCGCTATTCCGCCGACTTTACTTGACACTTGACTGACTCACGACTGCCATCCAGAGCACATGAGAAGTCCATCGAACCTTCGACTCGGCAAACCTGCAAGAAAGCACCACTCCCTGCTCAATACACAGTGTTTCGGGGAATTCACCCCTCATCAGTTGAGCTTGAGTAGGCTGAGGAAGATTGTGCCTGAAGAGCACCACTTATATAGTGCTCTCCAGGCACAAACATCACCAGGGATACAAACTTACAGAGACGCTCCGTTTCCAGCGCGACAATTATGATAATTATGATAATTATTAACACAATTTGTCATATCAAATACTGCAGAGATCTATCCAGAATCGGCAATATGCTGGCCATGGCCTGGAGATCTGCAACTACAATCAGTTTCTACTTTGCAATATTAACGGATTAGTCCCCTTTGTCGATTGCTGGATCAATCGGTACCAACGCATTCTTAATTCCGATTAGTAACTTCGGGTTTTGTTGTTGTTTGTTTTTCATGTTTTGAACTGTATGTTTAACTCATTGGATTTCTTTGTATGCTGCATCTCGTTATCGTTTATCTTTTCCTCTAGCCCTCTCGCTTAGGATGAGCTTTCTTTTTTTATGGCAGCTTAAGCGAAGGCTAAATACCTGCTTTATGCAGGTTGATGCCAACGCGAACAAGCAAAAATAATAAAATAATAACAAACAAGGACAAGGACACCGCGTTGATACCTTGACACCCAGTACAAACGTCGTTGAAAGCACTCGTGCGAGGAGTATTACAACATAAAATGCTCTCGGCTTGAAATTCTGTCGGGACATCACTGTAGGACATCACTGTATGACATCACTGTATGACATCACTGTATGACATCACTGTATGACATCACTGTATGACATCACTGTATGACATCACTGTATGACATCACTGTAGGACATCACTGTACAGTCAGACCTCACTGAACCGCATACATCCGTTTTCCACAAAAGTATCCGGATCGGCGACGGAACTGGATAATCGAACACCGGTTTTGTTGGATGCATCACGTATGTTGTACATCTGTAACCAGCTATTTTCTTCCGGGTGGCGAGGGATCCGGATAAAAGAGGACCGGATAAGCGAGGTCTGACTGTATGCGGGAGTTGCACACTCTTGGTACAGCTGTAGCACAAACATGTACTTGCAGTATGGTGCTACGATATACCGGTAGACCATGCATAGATGAATGGCTGTGTTGCGAGACATTGTTCATGCGCATTGTGTGAGCAGGCAAATTCGGTGAAGATATCGCAAAGGCGGTGGTAAGCATCAGATAAACTGACTCCTAGATTTGCACAGCGAATTGGACTGGAGCAACCATCGCGAAATTGCCATCCTGGGCACTCAATCACCTAGGGTTCCCTGTAACAAGGCAATGCCTGTTGTGACTCCCCTAGTCAAATAATACTACTACTGACTCTACAGTACTGCTGCCTTGCTGGCTACATACTTTGTCCAGTTTTCCACTTCTACTCGGAGGTATTATGTCGCTTGTAGTTAGGGCTGAAACGATCATTCAATAACTCCTAACGATCAACCAGTATCATTAACGATCGATATGTTGGTTTTATCGATTCTTGTCGGCTCTATCAAACACCAGTTTATAAAGAAATTGTATGATGCTTTTGCTTTGCTAGAAATTTGTGGCACCGCACCTGTTGACATCTGTAGATATCTGGCTGGTTTTATCAGCATGAACTACTCAAGTAGAGAATTTCATGTTGTTTCTAGAGCGAAGAATCTTGTTATCACCCTCTGGCAACTGCTCTCATCTCCAACTTCTCCCACAAATAAACCGAAAAGACAAAGTCTTCTCTCCCAATCTCTTTCAAAGCCACAAATCAATTTTACTGCCCTTGAAAGTACATGACTGCACTCGTATTCCACTATCGGATGGAGTGCAAGGGCTAGAATAATGTCACTGATATGCATGCATAACATATCGTTAGTACTCGTTTTGAACACTAATGATTATCGATCGCACTCTTAACGATCGATATGCGAGTTATCAGTATAATTGTTTCAGCCCTACTTGTAGTATTACTACTAGTCATGTGCATGACTGTACAGTCAGTGAGTTGTTTATCACTGCATGCTGGTGCTCATGCACCTTTAAACTTTAGTCATACTCTGCTCATAGTCATCGAACTACTACTACTAGTACTAGTATCTATCGAATGGCTTTTTCCTCTCTTTTTTGTTGTTGTCGTTGACTGTGTTGTTATTAGGGCTGAAACGATCATCCATTTAGCCCAATCGATTACTCTCTATCATAACGATCGATTATTCGATTATAATCATTAAGAGGCCGCACCTGGAATATGTACGTGGAATGGCCAAAAGTGGAAATATGTACAACATTTTGCACAAAAAAAAGTGTTATGTATGTAGACCGGACGCGACCTTGACCTTCAAGCTTCACGCTCCAGCTTCGCTGTACTACACTAGGCCCACTGTACTCGATGTTTGAACTCGCGCTGCATGCACTGCGCGTTCTACGTCCTGAGCGGCTGCGATGCAGCGCGTGCAGTGTGTAGTACTGTGTACTATACATACTCTGCGCTGCATGCATGCACTGCGCGTATAAGAAATTAAAAATTTAAAAACGCAAAATAATCGTAATTGGTAATCTAAACGATTGCTCGATCGTTAGAATTATCAAACGAGTACTCGATTATTCGGTATAATCGTTTCAGCACTAGTTGTTATTCAATTTATGCTGTTGCTTTGTAATATTTGAATTTTTGTTTCTCTTGTTATGGTTTCTGGCTGTCATTGTGTTGGTGGGAGGTTTGTTGGAGTTTTACTTGGATCCTTTTGAAATTTGTACAAATACACGACCTCATAAAGGCTCATTGAGCCTATGCTAGGGATTGAGTTCATTTTTGCCTCCTGGGTGCAATGCTTGAGTTCTCTTGGTCGGGTTTCTTTTCTTCTCTTCTTCTTTCAAATCCAGCATCATATTTCCGGTGTCCTTACCGTTCTTTGCATCATCATGTTCATTATGCGGTCAATAAAAACATGCTTCCAAGTACTGTACTAGCGGACGACACAAGCAACTACTTCAAACCGCATGCAAATAATGCCTTCTCAACACCGCTATTCTGATGTGCTCACCTTTTCGATTTCCTCGCGTAGTTTTGCGTTCAAACTCTTCGGCGACTCCTGGGCGGCTTTAGCCCGTGCCGACGCCATTGTGGGAGCCGCCGCCGCAATTCTTGAGGTCCTTGAAATCCCGGGTCAGCCCAAAGGGCAAGAACGTCGCAAGGGTTGAAGGACACGAGACCTGGACCGTTGCGTGGTTGCTTTAGACTAGTGCCACCGCTAGCGCTACCGCCATACCGGGCAATACTTAGTATGATACACCATAGCTAGAAGTTATAGTCATGAGAGAAAGACAAGAAAAATCTAAAACACTGATAACCATCGCCTTTCGTCTTCAACGGTTTCCCCCACCAATACAAGTGCCAGCTTCGCAGGCAGAAGTAACTTTTCAAAGCAGTTGTGGCTGCGGTCACATGTCATCAGTGCCAGTGGGACACGTAACAGCATGGATTTGTCCGTATTAATAAATCAACCAGTTACCCGGTACCCGACTACGTCTCGCTTTGACTTGTCTCGCAAACAACGAAATCGAAACTGTTCTGGTCTTGAATCACGAATGGTTGCGAACACGACACGGTAGACCGGGTCGGTTCATGTCGATACTATTAGGCGTACATGTACATGTACGTGGCTGTCACAGTCTCTCCGCAACTGGGGTAATTTTTAGGGGGAGTCCCGCATTGATTACATGCACAGGATTTGTTTTCCTTTCATCACCACCGCGACGACTATCTTACGGTCGATGGCGATACTGGTTGATGCTGCACTGGCTGCTGTTGTACTAGATGCTGGTACCTCGTCAGCCACAGGCTGATCAGCTACTATGTTGGTACTGCTGTCAGTTTTCTGTTGAGATTCGGGGCAGATAGTGACATGATGGTGACTCTGATTGGTGACCCATGCGAGAACACACATTACACTTGCGGGTGGCCATGCACTGAGTTGACCGGTGCCCTGTGCGCTAACACACAAACCAACGCTTCTGTTCAATCAGATATTCTTTCCGCTGTGCTACTGTTGTGTACTTCGTGCAGCTCTTGTCCAGGTGAGATCCGCCGCAGAATGCACATCCTCTCATACTGCTGGCATTCCAGTTGCCATCAGACCGCTTCCTTCTCGTGAACTTGCATGCGCCTGTCACCAGTGCACCTGCAGAATAGTGAGTGACATATTCTGCTGTAGTACCGCATGTGTTTGTGCGGCGCAGAAAGGCGTCTTACATGATAACATAACGCTTCAGTGCTGTTCTGAAGTCGTTCAGTTTCCATTGTGTCCCAGCATCTGAAAAGCCTCGCGATTCTTCGTCGTCAGGTTGCGATTCGTCCAGTTGAATCAGCGTTCGTCATGATCCGTATCCTGATCACAGCACCATGTGACGATCTGGTGACATCGAACGGATATAATACACAAGAGACAATTGTGATATTTCTACGTTGTGTTTACTTCAGTTACATAATCTAAATAAATGGGGGTTTGTCAACTGACAACCGCTCTATTTAGTTGCTATTCACTCTTTAGATGAAAATTCTTTTATTAATGTCGAAACATTATGCGGTTGTCAGGTGACAAACCCTCTTTCATTTACAATGCAGTTGCGTGATGTCCACCACTTTCTGTGCATAATCTAAGAGTCCTACAACAGCCACTTACTTCCAACTACCAAGCGAAAGGAAGCCCAAGCACAGGAGAACCGTGCGCGCGCGGGTACGTGACATATAATATCGTAGTAGAGCTGGCAGACAGGGCATGATCAGGGGTTCAAGCCCTGCCTGTTGAAGCGCTCTGAATGGCTCAAACTCTGGCAACAATCAGTCGGCATGTCTGAAAGTACAAGTAGTTGCGATTTATGCTAAAGTTCAAACTGACGGAAAACGTGCAGTGCTACACCGACCGTGAACCATGTGGAAACAAAAAGATGTAGAGGAAACACGGGATAGCAGACATGAACTCAGGGTCAAACTGATAAGTGTGTAACGTGAATGCATGCAGTATATGGAGACAAAACAAAGTCGCAGAACTCAGTACGTAACAAGACAGTACTACACACTGAACTCGTACATGTGAATGTCACAACACCATATGAATTAGCTCTTACACCCCACTTATGTTTCAGTCAGTAAGAGTACACATGCGTACTTACGTTGACTCCATTTTATCTCACTTGTCCAACACTATCGTTGTGAGCCTTCGACACTTGGGAATACTTAAGACAGATAAGATAGCGGCGAGAGCATCTCGCCGCTCTGTGAACACAGCTCAGACGCCATGCTTCATGGTGGTGTGTTCATGGAATACAAGGACACAATAGACTTAGTGCAGCTAACGAAATGGATGAACGGTCGACGGCCTGAGTGTTCTCCTTCCTCGATCAACACTGACAGTCACCATATACCATGCTTGATGTTTCAAACACCATCGGCGCAGGCCACGTTTTTTTGGCACCGACGATTTGTTCGTCCACCAACAGTCGAAACAAATGTTTCTCACTTGCACACCCCGTAGAGCTGCCGCTGTTGTACCAAGGCCCATTGGCGCATGGTGTGTACTCCAAATCTACATGTATGATGATGGGTCACTGCTGACGTTTCTGCTCTTGGACAGTGCAACGCCGCATGAAGATATGTTGTGGCTCCACAATCGCTGAGAACGCTAGTGTGCGTCCATGGAATACTAAAACACAATAGGCGCAGGAAACGCCCACTTGGATGATTCGGACGACGGTGGTGGTGAGTGCATTCTCCTTCCTCGGTGAACACTGCTGGTCACCCTGTTTGATGATCCACCAAACACCATCGGTGCAGGCCGCGTTTTTCGGAACCAGCCATTTGTTCGTTCACCAACAATTGAAATTAATGTTTCTCACTTGAACACTCTGTACAGCTGTCGCTGTCGTGACAAGGCCGTGTATACTCCAAATCTACATGTAGGATGAAGAGTAACAGTTACTGCTGATAATGAAGTTTGCGCTCGTGGACAATACAACGCTGTGTGAAGTAAATTGTGGCTCCACAATCGCTCTGAATGCCAATGTGTGTCTATGGAATACTAAAACACAATAGGCGCGGTGCAGCTAACGCCCAACGTGGATGAAACGGACAACAGCAGCGGCTAGAGCGTTCTCCTTCCTCGGTGAACACTGCTACAAGACATTATGCTTGATGATTCACCAAACACCACCGTTGGGGGCCAAGTTTTCCGGGACCAGCGAGTTGTTCGTCCACCAACTAACTTTGAGTCTTTCTTCAACACTTCGTAGAGCAGCCGCGCAAGGCCTTTTCCTTCGCGTTAGGGTAGCGATCCTTCCTAGATGATATTGCTATTCATTGTTACTTTTTACTAAAATGAGTAGTGTTTCTCCGAAAATAAAGTCAGCTGCCAAGTGCCATTTACTGCATTAGGCATTAGTAGTACTGCCTAGATTACTATAGCTTTATGTATACAATAAATGAGGAGGCCGAGGGTTTATGACCAACGAGAGAGCTTGGAAGCTCAGGGCCCTACGCTATGCTTTTTTGCCTTCATGACCTAGACAAAAAAACGCATAGGGATGTTATAAATTCTTTAAAAAATTCCTTTTTTTAACTTAAGACATAACCTGGGATTCGAACCCGCACTATCGCGCGCCCTGCATGCATCCCCCGATACACTTCGCACACATACTAATTCTTCCAAGTATTAGTTGTTTCACATTGTGATCTTGCATTTGAAAGCCCTATTTGAATATTTTGAGGTTGATTCGAGAGCGACTCTCACCGCGACCAGCATTGGATATTCAGCTTCAATTGCCCAATGAAACAGCGTATGCGGATGACGTAGACTTCATCAGCACCAGCCTACAATATTTGCATGACAATCAACCCGTACTATCATCCTCGTTAGCGGAATACAATTTAAAAATGAATGAAGCCAAAACCGAATATACTACAATTAAAAGAGAAAAGGACAGAGTAGACGAGCGATGGCGGAACACGGTCAAACTAGGATCGATGCTTGGAGTGGAGGAAGATATCAGTCGGAGAAAACGTCTAGCAACATGCGCCTTACATCAGCTGTGGGTGATATGGCTAAGAGGTAACCATGCCCGTGAACCCCTTCGGATTAGGTTATACGGCAGCTTTATTCTCCCAATACTTCTTTATAACTGCGGCACATGGAGCCTGACAGAGACTCAAGAAAAGAAACTTGACTCGTTCCACCGCCAGCAGTTACGAGCAGTCATAGGGGTCAAATATCCCCGTATAATACGCAATGAAGCACTGTACAAGCGCACTGGCTCCAAGCCACTCAGCAGAATCATCCAGTCTGCTAGGTGGAGAATGTTTGGCCACATGCTTCGACTAGACACCTCATCCCCGGTCCAGCAGGCTATGTCAGCATACTTTCAGCCAGGAAGCTCAGGGTTCCGAGGCCGCCCGAGAACAACACTCCCGCGATCCATCAACAACGACCTGAAAAATTCCAGATCCACAAACTCCCTCACATCACACGAGGATCTAGTTGCACTGAGGCAGCTCGCCCAGGATCGTCGAAAGTGGAAGGAACTAATGTGTGCTGTGTGTAATGGCTGAAGTTATACAATTACACTAGATACCCTTAACAATAATAACGGATACAATTACACTAGATACCCTTAACAATAATAACGGATACAATTACACTAGACACTCTAGATACTAGATACTCGGTACTCTAGATACTAGATACTCTAACAATGTTATCAAACATTATGATAATTACCACATCAAATGCTGCGGAGACCTATCCAGAATCGGCAATATGCTGGCCCTGGCCTGGAGATCTGCAACTATAATCAGCTTCTACTTTGCAACACTAACGGATTAGTCCCCTTTGTCGATTGATGGATCAATCGGTAGATTCGGCTCTGTTTTTCTTTCCTTTCTTTCTTGTTTTGAATTGTACGCTGAACTCATTGGATTTCTTTGTATTCTGTATCTCGTTATCGTTATCGTTAGATTTCCCTCTAGCCCTCTCGCTTAGGATGAGCTTTCTTTTTTATGGCAGCTTAAGCGAAGGCTATGTACATGTACCTGCTTTATGCAGGTTGATGCCAACGCGAACAAGCAAAATAATAATAATAATAATTTGAATATGCATTGTGGCCAGCCGTCTTTGATGGCACGGTACGGTAGGGGATAGTTACGGGACAGGTACGATCGAGGGTAATACGACACCGTCTCCCGTACCGTACCGTGCCATCAAACACAGCTGACCACATACAGCTGCCCGCAATATTCAAATCGGGCTTTCAAACGCAAGATAATAACGTAAAGCAACTTGGAAGAATGGGTATGAATGCGAAGTGTATGGGGGAATGCATGTAGGGCGATAGTGCGGGTTCGAATCCCAGGATATGCCTGAAAAAAAGGAGAATTGAAAATTTATAACATCCTATGCTTTTTTGCCGTTAGATACGGATAGCGCCAGGCGTGACACAAACAAACAAACAAACAAACACACAAACAAACAAATACCAAACGAGAGAGCTTGGAAGCTCAGGGCCCTACGCTATGCTTTTTTGCCTTGATGACCTAGACAAAAAAAGCATAGGGATGTTATAAATTCTTTAAAAAAATCCTTTTTTTAGACATAACCTGGGATTTGAACCCGCACTATGGCGCGCCCTGCATGCATCCCCCGATACACTTCGCATACATACTAATTCATCCAAGTTGTTTCACATTGTGATCTTGCATTTGAAAGCCCTATTTGAATATGCATTGTGGCCAGCCGTCTTTGATGGCACGGTACGGTAGGGGATAGGTACGGGACAGGTACGATCGAGGGTAATCCGACACCGTCTCCCTACCGTACCGTACCATCAAACACAGCTGGCCACATACAGCTGCCCGCAATATTCAAATAGGGCTTTCAAACGCAAGATAATAACGTGAAGCCACTTGGAAGAATGGGTATGAATGCGAAGTGTATGGGGGAATGCATGTAGGGCGATAGTGCGGGTTCGAATCCCAGGATATGCCTGAAAGAAAAATAGGAGAATTGAGAAATTTATAACATCCTATGCTTTTTTGCCGTCAGATACGGATAGCGCCAGGCGTGACACAAACAAACAAACACACAAACAAACACCAAACGAGAGAGCTTGGAAGCTCAGGGCCCTACGCTATACCTAGTAAAATAACAGTTAATAATAATAATGCTTTTTTGCCTTGATGACCTAGACAAAAAAAGATCATAGGGATGTTATAATTTTTTTTTAAATCCTCTTTTTTTAAAGACATAACCTGGGATT